AATGCTTATCAGAACCAGATGTTCGATAAATTTATTGAGATTTTCAACAAATCACATATTTATATTTCTAGCACCAAATGCTAATCATAACTTTTAAAAGTTTACTACAATTTGAAAATCTTACCACGCTAGACTTTCGTTAGAAACGGCAAAACTTTTAAATTCAATTAATTATATGAATACTAACTTATTTACACACACACACATATATATATAAACAAACAACCTTAGGGGTCGATTGGTTATAATTTATTTCCCCAGGTGTATGATTTTTACCTGGTTCATCAGACTGCACTTCCAAGGGTGAAAAAATGTTTTAAATTTACATATAGTTTATATTTTTAAATTTACATATAGTTTATAGCTAATATGTATTATTTTAAATTTACATATAGTTTATATGTAAATTTAAATCATTTTTCCCCCCTTGGAAGTGCGGCCTGATGAACCAGGTACAAATCATACACCTGGGGAAATAAAAATTATAACCAAAGAATCCTATTTAAAAATATATATATATATATATATTTATATATATATATATATATATATATATATATATATATATATATATATATATATATATATATATTGGTGACTTATAAAAGTCGAAAGCACTCAGAGAATTATCATATATATATATAAGTGTGTGTGGTGGGGCATCGATTACTCAGTAATAGAAAAAATTCGACGGTATAATAAGTTATGCTAATATTTTATTTCATCCTATCCTTCGAAGAAATGGCGGCGACTTTACCTTCGTGCATCTGTTTTTCTCAGTCAAATTTGCCAGTTAGTGATGGACGCCTCATCTCCTCCAGGACCACCACCACCACCATCACCAGACGCACATAACTAAATCGCTTTAATAAAAATGGAGTGACATGACTGAAGTTGTAGTTCTCTAAATAAACTTTTAAATGTCAGTTTTTGTTTTGCGTTTGGCCGCAACATAATTCGACATTCTTTTCAAAAAGTCTCTAGCTTTCTCTCATATATATATATATATATATATATATATATATATATTAGCGTGTGTGTGTGCGTACATGTGTGAGAGAGTGAGTGAGAGAGAAACTGACAGACAGAAAGAGAGGGAGACTTGAAAGATATGATAAAATGATTGATATGAATATGCGAACAAAGTAAGGTGGAATATATGAAAAACATATGACAGAGAGAGGAGGAGGGAGGTGGAAGAACAGTATATAGCTCTGAGAACATTCATATACTCACGCACACAGACACACACATATACATATATATATATATATATATATATATATATATATTGTGTATTTAGGCAGAAATCCTTCTATACAAGTTTCGCTAAAGACGACTGACAAGGTACTGTGATTAATAAAAAGCTTAATCATTGTGAGTTGTCTTTAATGAAAACTTGTAAAACTTGTATATATATATATATATATATATATATATATATATAGGGAGAGAGAGGAAGAGATAAATATAGATACTTTTAACGTTTTGTTCCTAAAATTTAAAATCCAAAATTCTTATTTCTTTCTCTGTTTTTCTGTTCTCTTTCTCACTGTAACTCCCTCTTTCTCCTTCTTCTCTTTCTCTCTGGCTACCCCTTTCTCTCCTTTCTATCTATCTCTTTTTATCTACCTCTTTCTCTCCTTTCTATCTTCTCTTTCTCTTTCTCTAGCTCTTTCTCTCTATCTTCTCTTTCGCTCTATTCTCTTCTGTCTCCACCACCAAAAAAAATAAACAAATCCCAAAAGCAGCAATAAACATCAAACCATCTGAAGCAAATGACTGAACATCAGCCAGCCTCAGTACTAGCCTGATTTGTCAGATTTTTTTTTTAAATATCTATTTTCATTTATTTTTTAATTGCTACTTTTCTTTCTATCCTCTTATCACTTCTATGAGTAGACAGGTTCTCCTATCGCCTGGTTCCTTTTAAACAGGAATGGATGTTTATCTCTTAGGATTGAGTTTCCGGTTCTTTCTCCTAGTCTTTCACTCCCAGTAAACTACTTGCGTCTTAGTGGCCTTATCACCTTGCTTGGGATGAAATTGTTAGATTCCGTGCTAATAGAAATATATATTTGAAAAACAAGGTGGATAAAATAACTAAAGGTTTATTTTAAAAACCAGTACAATAAGAATAAAGGTAACAGTTATGCACAAGGTCATCGCAAGTCAATCCAGTAGTGAGTGCTACTATTGGAAGGTCAGTAGTTCTCGCGTAAGTCTGAGTCGTACTCAAAAAATCCCAGCTAGGCAATATTTACAAGCCTCATCACGAGGTCCGGGTTCCTCTCTGCAGAAGGCAGAGAGTTCTACAAGAGCTGAGAGCTGAGTAACAGATCCGAGCTAGTATATTTACTAACCGCCCCACGTGATCAGATGTGGCACAGGGCTGAATTTAATGTGGGGTATCCGAGCCCGTAGGCTCAGCCAAAAATTCCCGAATAGCTGTTTCCCGAGACGAGACTCTGCCCATCGACAGTCTTGTCTGGGGATCCTCTTTGCCTCTAGGCTTAGAGATTGACCAGCACAGCAGGAACAGATCCCAGCTAGGCTCGATAGTCCGTTGACTTACAGATACTTATAGGTAGTTACTACCTATAGTGTAGTCACTCATGGGGGTGACAGGTTATTCCATTACATCAGAAATGATCAGAGAAAATATATAAGACTATTATAAAATATGTAACCTAAGCCATGATAGGAAATTCAAGTCATTCATTACCGCGTGCCAACACTAATTTTAAATTCCTTCTTTTTTTATTATGTGAGGCTCTCTGTGCCAATATTTAGTCCCTTGAGAGAGAAAAAAATTGTTTCAGTGCAGCAGAGAGCAATTTCTTTTATTGGTTTGATGCGATTAACAAATTTGGTGAGTTCGATGTAGATGCCAATTCAATGCCTACACAAACATCAAAATCATTTTTCCAATATTTCAGTTTAAATACCTAAAAGATTACGTTTGAAATTAACATATCAACTGAGTTATCGAAACGATTAAATTATTTCTAAAAATCTGTCCTGCCTTAATCGAATGATATATATATATATATATATATATATATATATATATATATATATATATATATATTCTCCTCCTCCATCTCTCTCACCTTCCCTTCATTCTCTTTCCTTCCCTCTCCACTATGCCCAATCTTACCCACTTAAATGCATATTTCAGCTTGGAAACCTGACTAGTCATGACAAATTCATCACAAACCGAGAGCAGGAGACAGCTGAAATTTCTTGGGAACGTAATGAGGAAAAAGGGCTTGAAAAATCTAATACTCACAGGACAGATTGAAGGCAATTGGGACAGAAGTAAGCAACGCATAACATAAGCTTGGCTAAAAGGATGGCGGGACAAGGTTGAGGAAAAATAACAAAAAGACCAAATCTATTAACAGCTACAAAGGACGAGAAATTGTGGAGAGCCATGATCACCCACGGCCTGGAGGGACACGGCACATAATGAAGAAGATTTAAAATGTAATAATTAGAAGGGAAGTTAACTCTCGTCACCGACCTTCAGTTTATAGAATGTAGGATGGTTTTTAGAGATATTTTAATAGGGGAAAATACGTCTTAAAAGCATTAAAATAAGGTATGTCCTGTATTTGAAGAGGAAAAATAGTAGTCTTTAAAAATGTTTTTTAATATGCAAATGGACAAAATGGATATGAATTAAAAGCTAGATACTATAACATTTCCTTTTCTTTTAACTTGTTTGAATTCGAGCTTCATCTCACAATAATTTTCTTTTACCATTACTATTATCATTGACCTAAATCAAATGGAGTGATGTAAAGCTTTTCTAGTGACTTCAAACATTAAGGATTTAACATTGAGAATTTCCACACTGTTGGTATTTCTTATAATTTCGAGATATAATTGAACTGTCAATGACATTTATCATGTCCTTCCAAGTCTGGCGCACGTCCACAGTCGAGATATACCAATTAAAGATAGCAATCTTCAGTCGTTTTTCTATATTAGTAGCCCTATCAAAACATCGGGGATCTGTCGAGAACTAACGCTTCCGACGGGATTTGAACTTAAAACTCTCAATGGCACCAGTCAGCTGTTTGGAAATTTTGTTTGTCCCATTTGAAAGATAAACATTTTGTCCTTCAAAGACAAAAGAGTGTCGTTTAAAATAAATGGACTTATGGTATCAGCTGCAGTAAAAACACAACATGACTCAGTTCTGTGGTTGATAGCAACCCTCGTCTTGTTGGTGCGTAGAACTGTGGGGGATAGAGAGGTAGAACAAGGGACAGAGGTCTTTGTTTCAAATATCCTGACAGCTTTTAATCACGCGAAAAGATAGAGGAGAAGGGCCCGAACGTGAACACTTGCTGGTTGCTTTTTATGTACGTTCCCAAGTCAACTCTACATCATCAGCTGGTGACATGTTCTTAGTTGGTCACATGATTCGTGACGTGTCTATCTTCATTTAATCACACCCACGATAACTATTATGATAGACTTGTATTATTGAATATATTAAAATTATTTTAGCTACAAAAAGATACAAATAAAAGAATTAAAAATAAAAACACGAATAAAAGAAACATCACATGTCGATGTTAAAGTCGAAAACTGAAAAAAATGACAGATTATCAAAAAGTACGTAGAGTTACGGTGACGACATAATGGCGACTGGTTTATGAAAGTTGAGTGTTGAGAAAGGTGAAATAAGACAAAACTTATCTTTTTGGGGGTGGAATTGTGTAAATCAGAAAGTAACTTTTGGAAAGAATTTTGGAAAATCATAAAAAATAAAAACTCACCTCAGCAACACGTTTCTCAGAGGCTTCCAAGTTGGTGTTAGCCGCAGTAAGTTGTTCGTTCGCATTGTCGAAGTCATTCTCCAAATTGGCATACTTCTTTTGCAATGTGGAAAGGTCCTCCTCGATCTGCAGGGAAAAAAGATGATAGAATGTTCAAGAATTATTCTTGAAAGCATTTTAAGGCTACAAAAATAAAGATGAATTGTGATGGAGGTTGAGTTTGATTGGGAGAATGAGAAAAAAAGAAGTACAAACACAAGATATTTAAGCATTTTAGATCCAGTTCCATTCGAAGACATTGAATTTTGTTCATTTATTGGGACAATTTTATTGATATTTTATATCTATCTATTTATCTATCTATCTATCTCTTATATAATCTCAGAAAAATATATTCACGTCCTTATTTTTTGTATATCTATCTAATATACATATATATATACAAAAACGTGTGCCCACGTTTAAATGTATGGATATCGACCTATTTCTATATCTATCTACAGTAATAATATATATAGTTATGTCTGCTATTGTTACAGTACAATCTTCGTTTCATAGTAAGTGCATTGAAAAGGCAGGATATTATGCACAAAAATGCAAAGTGATTGTGTAAAATATATTTTGTTTTTACTATTAGGCGACGATTTGATTTTTACAGAGCTCGCTACAGACAGTTTCATAGGAACATGAGATTTTCAGGTAAAAATATTAAATTTATATATATATATATATATATATATATATATATATATATATATATATATATATATATGAACAGAGCTGTATATTGAATGTCATTTTCACGCCTTGAGCGATCATTAAAGCATCTGAAAGCTTCTGACGAGTGGACTAAACAATTAGAATAAGAGTTATATATATATATATATATATATATATATATATATATATATATATATGAATAAAAGAGACAAAAAGTAAAAACTATGCTTAGTCGCCTGAGTGACATTATCAAGTCTAAGTATAGTTTTTTTATTCTTATCTGTTTTTATGCACTTTGTTTCTTCTACAGCTATATTTCATCTGAGAATATTTACACACACACATATATATATATATATATATATATATATATATATATATATATATATATGTATGTATGTATGTATGTATACATATGTAAATATGCCGAAATATAAAACAGTTTTATACATGTTTTCTTTTTTATTTCTCACCTTATCCAACTTCGTTTCATATATATTTTGAATATTCATTTAACAAGTAACATTTCCTTACTTCTTCAAATATTCATAGAAAATTTCAAACTCCCATTTTTGAAACTTGTGAGCTGTAAGATTCCAAAATCTCTGAAATTTGCGCAAATCCCCTCATCATTCTTGGTATTAAGTATTCTGGTTTGGTTCCTTGTATTTCCATAGACAAGCAAAATGAGTTCCAGGTAAAATCCTTTCTATTGATCATCCGTTGTACGTTTTTTTTAAGAAACTCCTTAAAAAGATTCTTCGGGGTTAATCCGAGCTGAACCAGGAATGAAAGAGGGTTTGATTATGGAAGAATTCAATTTAAATCAACAAATTTTAATTATTTACTTTCTTCAATCACTTTGTGATATACATTATAAAATTATATTTATTAATATTTAGTTAATATTTTTCTTTTTGTTTTGTTTTGGATTATTTGATAGACTTCTATTCTATTCTATATACATTTTTTTCTTATTGCGTCCATTTTTGAATAAACATTATTCAGTCTCCATGACAGACGAGTTCCAGATATGTGGGACGCAAGGTTGAATCTTGTCTGAGACTATTTCTACTTTGTTAACAATAGAAAAACCTTAACGCTATGATTTAAATAATTTAACAAACGATAAAAGAAAGATAGGTCTGTCTGTCTATCTATCTATCTATCTATCTATCTATCTATCTAATTCTGCTTATGATCTATCTAATTCTGCTCGTGATCTCTCTATCTATCTATTTATCTATCTAATTCTGCTCGTGATCTATCTATCTATCTATCTATGTATCTATGTATCTATGTATCTATCTATCTATCTATCTAATTCTGCTCGTGATCTATCTATCTATCTATCTATATCTATCTATCTAATTCATGATCTATCTATATCTATCTATCTATCTATCTAATTCTCTCATCTATCTATCTATCTATCTAATTCTGCTCATGATCTATCTATCTATCTATCTATCTATCTAATTCTGCTCATGATCTATCTATCTATCTAATTCTAATTCTGATCTCATGATCTATCTAATTCTATCATGATCTATCTATCTATCTATATCTATCTAATTCTGATCTATCTATCTATCTATCTATCTATCTATCTATCTATCTATCTATCTATCTATCTAATTCTGCTCATGATCTATCTATCTATCTATCTATCTATCTAATTCTGCTCATGATCTATCTATCTATCTATCTATCTATCTAATTCTGCTCATGATCTATCTATCTATCTATCTATCTATCTAATTCTGCTCATGATCTATCTATCTATCTATCTATCTATCTATCTATCTATCTATCTATCTATCTATCTATCTATCTAATTCTGCTCATGATCTATCTATCTATCTATCTATCTATCCATCTATCAGTTCACAACTGTGTCTTGGTCTTTTCATTCAACGCTAGAGGAAGTATGAATCGTTATATATAAAAGAACATCTTCATTTCTGTAAGCAAATTCTTTTGAAGTTTTCAAGAGTATCCCAAGTTCCCTAAGCACAAAGTCTCATAAATCAATGAAACTGTATTCACTAAGCTTGAACATTAAACCTGGTGGCATAAAGTACAGTTTTAACAATGTTTTCAATCACATGTCTCTGATACCATATGCATTTTGATAAAAAAAAAAGCCATGATTTTTTTGTTTTGTTTTTATTATTTCACAAGCTTTTAATCTCACATCTTTAAAAGAGAGAAATTGCACTTTTAAAGATGGTTTTCTCAAAACTTATGTACTCTTCGTATGAAAATGCTATAAAATAATTATATTTGTTCGCTATTTGCAATTTGTGGTTTTCATTGGCGATCAAGTGAAGTTTCTTCAATACTCTGGTATTCTGCACACTATTCCTTATTACTTATACATCGAGTGTTCCTACCAATAGAAAGTAAGTGACATGAATGTCCCCAATACTCTAACATTCTACTTCGTATCCTAGATTTTTTCAACAATGCCGTCGTCTTTATTATTTCCCTAATTTTCTGTTCCAAGTTTTTTTCCAGGCTTTTTGGGATAGTTTCCAGTGTTCTGATAACAACCAGGACGACTGTCATGTTCATATTAAGATCAGGTTAGGTGAAGAGATATTCGTTACAACTATTTGCTGTTTGTATTCCATTCAGTAATGTCATTGTTTTGTATCGTTTTATTGACATTCACTGAAGTCATTGCCTCGTTTTATTGACACACACCCTGACAATGTTAAATATGAGGATAATAGCTTCCATCTGTTACTATTTTGGAAGATATGGTAGTTACGGGGAAGTGGTTCACACAAGTATTCCGTCTCCCTCGCTTTCTTTTTGGACAACCATCATGGCAATGGAAGAGAGCGCATAGATAAGTCATGCATTTCTCAAGAATATTGGCACAAAAGAAAAATAAACAAATTCGGCCAAAACTCGATTGCCCCTCACACGCATATGTGTGTGTGTGTGGGTGCACGCGTAGCGTAACGGTTGTCAGCACAAAAAGTGGAATTGATATTTCGAGTTCAAAATCTAGGTGGGATCGTTGCATTTGCCTCTGCACAAATACTCTTCCAATATTACCAGTTAGTATATTCTCACTCACCCCAATCAGGAGTTAATAACAGGTTAGAATAGGTTCCCTAACTTTGGTTGGCAACCAGACTAGTAGAAGGGTAACTTAGAATCCAGAACGGGTTGGATAGCAACTCTACCCCGTAAAAACGATCGTATTTATCAGAAAACCCACCTCGTTGAAAACCAAGCACAAGGCCTTTTTAAACATAGATCTCCCACACGTACATGCGACCAGAGGCCCAATCGATTCCAGCCTCTTAGGCACTCCACTTTTATGGGGGACGCTTCAAATGACCCTACCCATCTCTCCTCTCTCTCTCTCCTCTCTCTCTCTCTCTCTAAGTATTCCCTGAAGGTTTGCCCTCTCGGGTTGAAAATAATAATTGTAATCCCACATAAACCCTTGTATTCTTGTGCCGTATTAAACTAAAATCACTAAATAAAAACGACGTCCTACCATAGAACAATGCTTAGGAGCTAATCTCGCAGACTATTACTATGTTTCTGAGTGCGATCCTCATTGGGTACCTCAGACTTATTGCCGTGTATATGGCGAAGATAAAGTAGGCGCTTCTGTATGAAATCTAATCTCACAAGCCATTGGCGCTATAAAGAATTTGCTCCGCACCAGGTGTGAAACTAAGCATTCCTCCAGCAAATACCTGTTTGTAGTATTTAACACTATTTTTTTTATTGTGTATGTAGATATTTTATTAAAGAGTCTACAAAGTTGGACGCGAGTTCGAACCCTGCCGGAGAGCATAATTTTTTTTATTAAGATTTCTTGAGTGGACAGACCGATAAAATAATACACACTGAAGGGGAAAAAAAACAAAAAAACGGGGCGTCTATTTCAAACACAGCTATCCACTAAAAAATAAGGTTCGAAATAATAAAAGAGTTTACTTTACAGAAATCAAGTAGTCCTTGACTATTTTATAGAAGTCAAATTTTATTTTTATTTGTTTTGAATTAACAATTCACAGGCGACTAAAAATAAGATTTGAATTCATTTCTGTTTTATTGTAAATTTAAATAAGTTTCTAATATCTAATATACATCATGGTAATATATGATGCTAACTTGCTGTCAGTCGATCACTAACGGTAGGTAATAGGTATAGCAATTGGGTCGAGCTATCAGTGCTTTTTGCTCAGGGTGTTCCATAAGTGGTCATGCTATATTTGTACCAGTGATATTTCGCATCTCACAGTCTACAAGCAACATCCCTTCTGCGAAAGCTATCAGGTATCAAATTACATTGCACAAAAAACCCTTAAGAATTTGTATTTACAAAAGTTTAATATTAAATTATTTGGACAATTATTATTATTATTTTTTCTTCTAGTTCAAACATTTTAGCCTTATTTTTTTACGGTCTTATTTAGGAATTTGTCATATTCGACAATTTTCAGGGAATTTTGAACTGCAATTCAAATAACAGGGTAATTAAGTTACATATACAGAATGACTAAAAAGTAACTCCCTATTTTATATATGATGGACTCTCTCATCTAAATATATTTTTACAAGACGTGGAAGTCCATCATACAAGAAATAAGGAGTTACTTTTTTTCAATCACCATGTATATATATATAATAATTAAATAATGGTAAACTTTTAAAATAAATAGGTAAGAATCTAACCTAATTTATCATCTAACCGTTAGATTACAGAGATAAGTAAGTTTAGCTTAGTTTGGTGTAACGCTACTGTGACACTGAGTGAGGGTCGAGCTGAATACAGCAGCAATATTTTTCAGTACCAGAAGCAGAGGATAACGAGCTTATTTTGCAGACCAATATTACTGTAGTGAGTTCGATTCTCGACCTTGTGCCAGACTAGAACACGTTTAGTAAAGACCTATAGTCTGCGTAAGTACTTATATATACTTTGATTTAATAGGTAGATTAAGTGTCTCTGTCTCTGTATCGATCTCTCTCTCTCTTACAAAAACATGAGAACTCTTATGTAGCGATGGAATCATATTTTTAAAAAATAATTATAATTTAGGCTCTACTTATGTATTGAGTGCTGTTTTAAAAATAAAAACAAAAATACTAAAGAACTTTGGATTTTTAACCTAACGATTCTTTCCTATTTTCTATATATGCACACACACACACACACACACACAAACATATATATATATATATATATATATATATATATATATATATATATATATATATATATATATATATATATATATTTTTTTAAAGCGTAGCTTACATGTGGAACAAGGCCAAAAGTATGGGGCACCCAGTGAGGATCAAACTCAGGATCCAGTCGTAATTGAGTCAGCGATACAATCTTGCTTAACCATTACGCCACGTCGAGGTGCCCCCCTCTCGCCTTTTCTCTCTATATATTGCATAATTAAATATGCAATAAGTAAACCAAATATATCAATAAAATCTATATATGAGTAAAAGCTGAAAAAAGTTCTCTGTCCGACCAAGACGGCCTTACAAAAAATTTATGATGTTTGGGCATTTGATCCGAACTCTCAACACCCCTTCGTACACACACACACACACACACACATATATATATATATATATATATATATATTATATATATATATATATATATATATCATATTTATTCATAGTGTTGTATTTTATGCTTATTAATTAGGAATGATTAAAGAAAGTCTTAAATTTTCTCAATTTAGAATTTTTATTGCATTAAAGACTATAGTTTGTATCATTACATCGTTAATTTTTCGGATATCTAACGCGTGAATTTGCGCAACCTTTTTTAACAATAAATTAGGCATCTAGCTATCAATATACAATGAACCTATTTAATGAGAGATAAAATCGTTTTGTTTTTTTGTTCTAAAAACATACAAACATTTTATAAATTTCTAATAAATGCAAGAAAAGATACTTGTTTCGAACAAGGCCAAATTAAGGAACACACACAAAAAAAAAAAAATCTCCAGTGAACATTTGATCGCACAGTCATTTGTTTTTATTATCCTCCATTGAAATCTAGAATTGCCGGTGGAACTTATATGACATTCATATCTATGACTTTCTTGGTGATTTGAATCAATGTGTATTTCTCGCTGGTATCAGAGGTTGGAGTTCGAAACCAAATAAAGAAAAAAAATCCTCAAGCATTGATTTTCAAGGTAAGCAGCCAGGCAAGCGTTGTTCTCATTTTTAAAGAATGGCTCAGCGCAATCTTCCTGCCTTACATGTGACCTTGTAAGTTAGTCTTAATAATATCAAAACCCTATTGTGTGATATATCAATGCAAGTATATGCCGATTTTTAAGGGCAGTTAGGAGATTGCTTGATTTTATCAAGTTATCAAAACTGAATTTCTTTTTGT